TTCTGTCCAGAACGAACTGGCTATGAGTACTGAATCGAAAGCAGTTTATGCTACGTGAATTGTTACATGATCGCAATTGTGTGTGCTCATATTTGTTTATATCTGATCACAATCATCATGTTTCAGTTGATTTATCTGCCTTCCAAGCTCGCTGAAGACTCAATTTAATGAATATTTAAATGAAGAGGAAAAGTACCCGAATTTGGAGTTGCAATAGTGCTGTGCTCAAATCGATTCGAGGCAATGATATCACCATTAAGATTCTCTTTATTACATTTTCCTCTACGTCGTGGTTATTTTCATCATCTTCATCATAGTGTTCATCCACTCATTCGCAAATTCACTGATGAGAACAATCTGTATTTTGGGTTATTCATATTATTTCTATTGCATTTTACTGGCCGCATTAATAGCTTCAAGTACAAATTCGATTGGTATTATTAGTGTTCGAGCAGAGCCTGAAGTAGGAAAGGAGAGTGAACTCGAGAATGCGAATCTATCCTCTATATCTGGAGCCTTACCAAGGCTCCCATCCTCATCAGGCTCAGCATCAGGCTTATCAGAGCCGATATCAGGACGGTCGTCGATGTCCAAAGCACGCTCATCCGAGCAACCATTGTTTGATCGCTTATCATCAACACTATCGCACAATTACTCATCGCTTTTAGATGTAAGTTTTAATCACTGTTGAAGCTCTTAGATCATGCCTCTAAGAACTTGCTTATACTGGGGGTGTTCAGGAGGCTTTGAACTTTCTAATTCGATGCCCTTTCTGACGGATTTCCGAAAGAACTATTCTCGAGAGCTGAAATGAATTACATGGGTGAAAAAAATGCAATTTTCTGTTCTTTCTCAAAAAACGTGCACTCATCAATAGACGTTTTTCGCACGCTCCACGGAAATTTTCGTATTCAACCTAAACTGTCATCAATCAACTTTTTTACTTTCGTACAGCTGGTAAAATCCAGCAAATTGATTATGTCAAGTCTGAAAACCTGTTGGGCGATGACTATTCTCTTCGCAAAATGAGAACGCAGCAGTAGAATTCATTCCCAATTCATGCAATTAAATGAAAAATTCCATCAGAATTATCAGCAAAATGGCAGTTCTACTCAAAAAAAAACCAATCGATTTTCAATCGAAACTTGCAAATAAGTAACGTTTTCCAAGGAAGCATTATGTGTCATTATGTCATCGTGTTTTTTGTTACGTTATCGGGTGCATTCGCTCGATGAGACGAGAATTTTAGTGGCTGTTCCCATTGCAGCCGATAGCAACGCACCACGCCTACCAGCAATAAAAAATTTGTGCTTTGTATCAGAAATGCACTCAAAATTCATTTCACCTTCAAGACAATTGAGCGCATCCAAATGCACTCTTCGTTCCTTCCATTTCAAAAACAAAAAACACATCAAATAACAGTGAATGCCCGTGTTTATTTGTCAAATTTTTGCAAATAAATCTCACNTTCATTTCTTTGCAAAATGCGAAATGCAAAAGTAAATGAATGCACTTAATGGAAATAGTTTATGTACATATAAACGAACGACGAACCTCTTCAATGTAAACATTTAAGTGAATAGATGTGGAAGAGTTCATGCGATATTCACGAGTTTATTGATTTCAACAGCTTGAAGCAATATAAACATATAGAGTCTATGAAATAAATGTTCAGCTAAATCTTGCTAATCGGATTATATTGATTGTAAGAGCATGCCTGAAGTATGGCAGTTAGGAAAACGTAATGATTTTGAAGCAAAAGATGGAGTTATCTAAGAGGTTCTTACCTCTAAGGGGTTTCCCAGTAGCCCGGTTCAATCACATTTGTCATTGACTATAAGAATTGTTCAATAATATATCATGATCAATGAAGAGAAATCAGATTCGAATTATTAAGCGTACATTCCTGACAATCTCGATTCTTAAAGAAGAGGGAATATTGAAAAATAAGTGCTAACGACAAATTAATTTTCTCATCAAATCATTTCTGATTTTGAATCTCTCTCAGAGGATCCACATTATGCAAAGGCTGAAAGAGAAATGAGATTCCACTGTGTGGGTGAATTTCTACGGATTTCTCACCTTTAAAGTGAGAATTAACATTCTCATCCATTTATCGAATCATTTTTCGAACAGGTTCTGGCTGGTGTAGCTACTGCTCCAAATGGTACATCGCCGAAGACGTTGTCTTCGTTATATGGTACTAAAGACTCTCCGCGAAGGGATCCCTTGCCGTCCTTGGAGTCCAGCTCGACCCGCAACTCTGGCCGGGCGTCCGAGCGAACGCCTTTCCGGCAAGCTGTGATCCCACAAACTGTTCGCACTTTGTCGCGACTCTCGTCGCCTTCAACCAAAACCGGAAATACTTCCGGAACAATTTTGATCTCATACCTAGCGGCGATTAGTCAATTTCCGAAAAATTTCTTCGAGTCATTGAAAATGATCTCCGAAATTGAGGTTTTTTTTAGTTTCATTTTGCGCACTCATTTCGCTTTGTTGCCACTCATTTCTGCGTTATTTTTTCGCTTTTTCATCTGTTCATTTGATCCTGATTTTTCTCAAGTCTAGAGAAGCTCTAGGCATCGGCATTTTGGGATATCTCAATTGGAAATGGAATCTAATCATAGTCATTTACTTGTTCGCATCTTGATTAGTAGATGGAAGATGGCAGAATCGCTATGAAATGAGCAATGTCAATAGGAATGAAAACTNAAAATATTACTTGTCATTGATATGCTGAATTAAGGTGGACAGCGTTGAAACGTCAGAAGGTGAAAAGAACTATGGGTCTTTATCGAAGTGTTTTCGTACGGAATTTGAAGGTAAGCTCCGACAGGATCGCTTCCTTTTTGCAGTGATTAAGGTCAAGAATTTATCGCAACTATGCGATAAGCTCATTCTTTTGATTGTAAGAAATGTTTTTCAAGTGGTCAGGTTAAAAATGGAACCGTACCAACAAAACAACTAGATTCAAGACAACGATGAAGATCCTGTATGTTGCAATTTATGGAGAGTCTCTGAATATCTCGTTTTCTGACAACTTATATATCTGAGGAAATAAGTTGTGAATGCGAATCACTACTCAATTTCTGGAACAGGAGGGAAGTGGTGGTTGGTCAAAACACAATTTTTTGATCTTTGAACGATCATGAATTCATGTAGTCCTGGATTTCAGGGCTCCGAATAGACTGAAAAAAAACTGATCCCATTAGACAACTGTCTAACTAAGCAGACTCTCATTTTCAGGTTCCATGATCTCAGGTGCTCTGCATGTGGCTGTCGAAGAGGTGAATGCAGACCCGACAATCTTACCCAATCATAAACTCACATATATCTTCAATAACACTTGCGGAGATGAACGACAAAGTCTGTTATTACATTGAACTGATTGAATCCCAATTGAAATCGTTCATTTTCTGCAAACTTATGAATGTCTTCAGAACACATAAAACTGCTATATAAATTTCTTGTTAACTAATGCCTTTCTGTTATCTTGTTGAGACTCTGAAACGCAGTCATTATTGGTGCAAGTTTACTTACACTCTCAAGTATACAACAATCACGTAAGGGTGAAGTATGAACTGTAGTAGTACAGCTATGAATTTATGCGTTGATGATTGCCTAAATACTGGTTCATGTTTTATGTGCTTTAAAATATGAACTGTAACAAGGTATTTGATCAAACAGCAATCTATTAATAACATTTATTCGATACTCTCAAAATATCGAAGGTTAGCACCATATATGGAGATATAGGTGAATTCTTTTTGAAACAGAGATTTCTAAAAGGAACCTGTAAAANGAAAGATCTGGTGAACTGAAATCTAATTTGATGCATCTTTAGGTACTCGTTTCTTCATGGAACATTGGGCACAAGGTGCAAAGGCCTTTATCGGGCCAGAGATGAACTGTCGAACTGAGGCGACTATGGCAGCAGCACAGAATGTACCGATAATATCGCATAAATGCAAAGATCACATAGTTTCGGATAAGAGCAAGTAAATTGTTTTGCTGGGATTTTGTATTTTCAGGTCTCTGAGGAGTGAGTAATTCGAGATATTCCGCTGAGATTTCCGGGAGTTAAATCAACTCCTTTGGTTCAAAACAATAAAGTCAAAACTCCGAGTATATGTAAAAAACTTTGAATGAAAAGTTTTCCATTGAAGACATGCATTCACGTATTTGTGATAGTTGAAGCCATACTCCATCTGGAAATCATAAGTGACAAAATTCCGTTCATGTGAATCTGAAAATAGCGATCGACGGTTTTGAAGGCGATTCATTTGAGAATAATAGCACACATCATTCAGCCACATCAACAGTACTGAACAGAATAATTGGACGTCTGTTAACTTTGGCAGGATGAAAATCTAACGATAAATGCTAGCAGTAACTGGCGATTTGCATTCAGATATCCGACGTTCGCGCGAACAGTGCCGGCAGAGACCGAGATAACAGCAGCATTCATATCGCTGTTCAAGCATTTCAACTGGCGCAAATTCTCGATTATCTATGAGCGACACGTCACTAACGAGGAACTCTTCAGCTCCATTCGAGTCAGTTCCATAAATTGAACGCAGAATTGTTTGTGTTGAGAAATTCAGCCCCCCCCCATATAATTGTCTACTGACTTCAGGGTACTTCGAAAGGTTTCAATGTGATTTACGAGAAATTATGTCCGGTTTTTCGACAAAATCTATCAGTACTTTTGTTGATGGCTCACATGTTCTATTCACATAGTTCCACGCGCCACATCATTAACAGTACTGAACAGAATAATTGGACGTCAACTTTATGGATCTATTTTAGGGTGCCCTTGACGAGGAGAACCTTCATCTGGGTCCAGAAGAACGTCGCTATACAGTGTTGAACGTTAGCACTGTGGCTTATCCATTTTCAGAGGTCGAGAAATCGAATGTGGCACAAATTATTGGAGATACATATAAAACAACGCGAAGTTAGTATTAATAGCTCTCAGTATGATCGTTTTACTCTCGATTTTGAAATTTGATTTCTGACTGTCTATCTGACAATGGGAAGGCATTTTCAACGAGGTTTGGAGTTCGAATATTTGCATATTGAAGTATTCACGAAATGTGATATATTCGGATTGACTTATTCGATACGTCAACTGAGCTCTTTGACATTGTTCATGTACTGGTCACTTCTGGATCATCAAAAGGGTCTTCCCAGTGGTCTTCAGCGAGTTTTCCGGTTGACTATGCTTCTGAATTGTTTCAGTTTATCTGACTTTCGGTAATGTTCGTCTCTTTCGACGGATTTTGCTGGAAATGGGTGCACATGGTCTGATGGACAGTGGGGAGTATGCGTTGATTTATTTGGATGCTGATTACAACTGGTTAAATCCGTATCATGCGATGAATAATCATTTCTTTAGAGGTAACAATCGTTTAAGACATTCGTTTTCTGATAGTATTCGCTGGTTTCCGAATGTATAATCATGTTCGATGTAACATCATAAGTTGGTGATTTGAAAAGGTTTTGTGATAAAATCGATGATGTAAATCGGAATATTCAAAATTGCTGTTGAAAATTCACTAACATTCTCAAAGATTCACTGATATGCCTCGGCTTCGTGAAACTGATTTTGGATGAACTAAAATGGTAAATAAAGTTTGATCGAGAGAAAATCTTAGATACTCTTCTCTCGGTTAGTCAATCGTGGGACGATCCAGATTCGCCGGATCAGAAGGTTGTGAACTTCTCGAAATCAGCTCTCGCCGTAATACCCACTCCGGTAAAATTGAACACTCCTGAATTCACGGCATTCTGGCAGAAAGCAAACCATTACTTGTCGTTATTCGGTGTTCAACGACACGATTCAACATCTTCGATTAAGGTTTCATATTGTTCTTTGATATGTATCGTGTATTTGAAGGTGTGCTCTTACTAACTTTTAAGGTGCTGATAAAATTTCAAGATTGCCTCAGATGTTGCTTCAACATTGATTTTCAGTTATAGTTTTATTTGATAAGTTATTTCGTCAATTAATAAAGTTCACATCGAGACACGGATGTTTAATATGGCTTATTTGAGGCGAATCGCTTTGCATGCTATCTGTACGATGCAGTGAAACTGTATGCAATGGCCGTCACTGCAGTTATAGACGATACTCCGGCTAGCAGAATCGCGGCTGGGTATGATCCGATTTCAGATGGCGAAAGGATAATCAGTAAGATCATTGGACGAGTTTATCATAGTGAGTAACTTTTTGAAGTCAATTGAATTCTTCTTCAGCAAGAATATTTGCTGAAATTTTGTTGAAACTTATTGAAACCTCCCTGAATTTAAAAAAAATATGCCCTTTTTTATCGCATTTATATGAGCACTGTGAAGAGATCAGCATATAACAGGCAAAATGCCTCAATTACGTCAAATTATTGTCATATCCGTAACGTTAACGCTGATATTTCTTATTTCTTCTTAATAGTTTGAGTGGTTCATATCGTTGTCGAATCCAAATCTGTGGCCTTATCTCTTGTCTTTATCAGTTATTGCTTTGCATCCATTTAGAACTCTATCTTTCGGCTTCAGCTATTCAAGTAGTTCTGCAGTTGTTCTTATCCACTTCCACTTGAATACTTCATATCAAACCTGATTAAGACTACTTTGAGCTGATTCTGACCATTCTCTCAATGCGTTACCTAATCGGCAGGTATACAAGGCTTCGATATGCGTATCAATAGCCATGGGGATGCGCAAGGCAATTACACTCTGCTGTCACTACAAGATGTCGAGCCAGTTTTGGATGCTAAAAATCCTGACTATTACCCGCTGAAAAGAGCGTTGACGATCTCGGCTGACTTTATCTATGATACATCGCATGATTTACCCTTATTACGATTCCAACGAGACATCCAATGGCCGAATGGAATGGCTCCACTGGATGAGCCCGAATGTGGGTTTCATAATGAGAAATGCAAAGAAGATGGTGGTTGGTGTTTCGGTTTTGTTTAGTTTTGCTCTTTTCGTTTGCATTTCTTTAATCGATTGCTTTCTAGTCTGATCGTTGCTCAATTTTTGAAGGTTTCGTTTGTATACGTTTCTCGATAGAAATCTTACGGAATAAGTGAACATTCATCATTCAGAAAGGAATTTCGCAGTTTTTTCAATTATACAGAGCGATTTTTTCAGGCTGGTCAGCGGTAATAATGTTCACAACAATCGCTTTGCTGATAACGGTTGTCGCGATCGGATCAACTTTTGTTTATAGGTGAAGAATTGTTTCTTCTTGGTCCCAACTTCTTCAGTGTGAAATATTTTGATCCTATGACCAGATACCTCTCCTGTGACATGCGTGCTTTAGACGAGTGATTGCATGAAAAGCATACGATTCGAATGGTTATTTCAATGATTATTCTTAAGGAATCGTAAATTCGAGCAGGAATTATCGAGTATATGGAAGATTGATCAGAAAGAGATTGAAAAAATTGTGCAATGTAACGAATCAACCACATCGTTGTTCGTTGTAGGCGACAGTCGGGTATGTTGTTTTGAGTCTATCGTAGATTCGATAAGGTGCTTCTTATAACGATGATTATTACACTCAAAATTACATCAATTCTGCTAATAATTGTAAAATATTCTATTGAAATTAGACTAAATAAGTTTGTATATTCGTGTTCATTATTGTGTTTCTATATCCTATAAGCTTTAGATTTTATATTTTCAAACTGAATTCCATCATTAATCGTGAGATGACACTGATTTTCGATGATTTCTTTTATAGACATCCCTTCTAAATGGCGATGAAATGCATGAAAAACGGTGGTCAGGTCTTCGAGGTGTCGCATTGTACAAGGGAGCGATTGTCGCTATTAAAGAACTTAGCTACGCCCGGAAACCTCGCGAACTGACTCGAGCCACAAAATTGGAAATGAAAATTATGCGACAGTTGCATCACGATAACATCAATTCGTTCATGGGTAACATCTCAGAATCGTTTTTTTATCCATTCTGATGAAACTTGAGGGTATATTCCGCGAACTTTTGCCGAGTAATCTCGTCCAGGTTATTGAAGAACGTTTCTGAAACAGTCAACTTCTCGAATCTACGAAAGAATTTCAGAAATAATTGATAGTGTTGATGGTAGGAATAATAAAGAAGACGATATACTAGGAATGACGGTCACTGGAATAAGAATATGAAATGATCATGTCAGTGTTAATGGCGATTGCAATTGCAGGTATTGTGGTGTGTCCATCGTCGATTTGTGTAGTGCGTGAGTTCTGTGCAAAAAGCTCACTGATGGATATACTGCGCAATCGTGATCTGAAACTCGATCATTTATTCATCGCATCATTTGTTGAGGATCTCGTCAAGGTTGGTTGGAATCTTCTGAATGAACTCATGATCGATCGCAATATTGATAACGTTTGTTCAGTAAAAACCGATGATTTGGTTCGTTTCATTAAATTTCGCTCATTTCAGGGTATGATATATTTGCATGAGTCTGAACTGAAGGTGCATGGTAACCTGAAATCAACGAATTGCTTGATCACAAGTCGTTGGGCACTGCAAGTGGCAGATTTTGGTTTGCATGAGCTGCGTGATGGACAAGAGTGGGTCAGCGATGAACTAAAGGTATGAGTGCAGATTTTATGCTGCTGGAAAATATTGGTTATTCTTTGAGACGTTAAGAATTGTCGGTAATTAAAGTGATGCACATATGAGCAACTAAACAACTATTTGCGGAATTTATTACAACTGTGTTATCTCTAATTATCACTCATATTGTCAATGGAACCGAAAGGCTTCATCCATCTGTTTGAATTTTCTCGCGATTCCTTT